TATTTTTTTGTAGAGGTAGGGTCTTGCTATATTGCCCGGGTTGGTCTCGAACTCTTGGCCTCAAGCAATCCTCCCACCTTGACCTTCTAAAGCGCTGGGATTACTAGCGTGAGTCACCACGGCTGGCCAGTTCTGACTTTCTGAATTAACTCCGCAGAGGCTTTTAAGAGTATTACTTGCCCCTTTACTCTCTGTTTCTACTTCTAATATTTCTTGCTTGGGGGGAAGAAGCTAAGGGAAAGCACTAAAGGTGCTGTGGATGCTAAAACCTAGGATTGGAGAGGTTCTGGATCAACTCAGAGGTGGCTCCAGAGCTTGAGGCTGGAGTCAGCCTGACCAGCATTCCATGAAGGCATCTGAGATGCCACGTTTCACTGTGGTTAGCAGAGGCTGGGAGGAGCTTCAGGCTTCCTCTTTGGCTCCCTCTAGGGGACCACTGCTGCACTGGGGTGACCACAAAAGAAGGGATGAGAAATAACATCAAAGTGTCCAGACTATCACATCTGGAAAGGCTTAAAAGATCCCAAACATAGCAAATACGTGGCATATATGCCTCCACCTGCCCCTCCTTTGCATGTGGCAGACATTACTAATCAATCAATGTCCTTTCCCCCCATAGCCTAGAGAGGTATCAGAATCCTGAACGTAATACTGGCAGCCACTACCAATGGACTAGTGTTTTCAAGTCACGTGAAGCCTCCTGGTCATGTCTCTTATTTGAGAGATAGAGAAATCGAGGCATAGAGAGAGAAGGTAACTCAATGTCATATAGCAAGCTGGTGTCTGAGCCAAATGTCCAGATGTTCAGAAACATCCAGATGTTCACCTTGCTTTTTAAAAAAAATCGGATCCATCAGAAATTCTAATGCCATGCCAATACAAGGTAACCCAGAGGAACCCCCAGTTGAGAAGGGTTAATATCAAGTTTCTGAAAGAACCCTGCTCTGAAGAGGATTGGCATCTGTTCATATTTTCCCTACAGACATCAAGCTCTCTGGCTGGATGGGTGACAGTAGAGTTGATTTTTCCTCCTGACTAAGGGGGAGGCTGTTTTTCTAAATAATTCTGCCAGATCACTACTTGCTGGTCCTGGTTCTGCACAGGCTGGCATCCCTGGGTTCAGGATTGGAGTCGGGAGGGAGGGAAGCATGGATTCTGTGTTGTAGAAAAAAGACAGCTTCCTCCTTCATCTTCAGGGCTGGCTGAAAAGGGTCAAACTTTCCTTCTCTCCTCTTAAGTCCATGTCAGGAGGGAGCAGCAGGAGGCACATGAAGCTGACCACTGGCCACTTGCGCTGGTCCCTGGGGTCTAATGACAAGGCCACGTGGGCTGAGATCGGCATGATCAGCCAGCAAGGGGGAGGGAAAACACGTTGCTTACTTCTTATCCACAGGGCTTGTGGCCTATGAAGGAAGGTGCTTGAGAAGGATTTCAGACCTACCAGGTGAAGGAAGAAAGGCAAGGGGAACATTGGAACAGCTCCAAATATTTGGAAGTCTGCTTCAGATACCAGCTCACCATGTGCCCTCCAGGGCACTGATTTCTCTTTCTGAGCCTCAATTTCTCTCTCTCTAACACACAGGGGCGGCCGGATGGTATCTGTGGGTTACAAGTCTTCTGGTCACGTTTGATTGTGCACATCATGTGTGGTTGCAGGTGATAGTGTGTTTGCACACCTGGTGGAATGTCTGTTCGAGTTCCATACATCCTGACTCAGCATCTGTCAGTTTCCACCGGTAACAGGTGAGGGTCTGACTTCTCATATTTATCAAGCTGTATTCCTGGAACCTGTCTGTGTCTAAGTCAAAGCCTTATCTGGGGAGAGGTGTGTGAGTGACGGCTTCCTGTGTCTGTGCCTGTCGTGAGGCACTTATTTTGAGCTGTGCCCGTGTGTGCCTGTTGATGAAATCAGTGTTTCTTCTCTGCTTTCCTGTGGGTTTGTCTCTGTCCCTGTGTAACTCTGCATACTCATTTACCCACCTAAGGAGCCTCAAAAGCCAAGTATCCCACTGTTTACTTCACATCCTCCGCCCTTTCCTTTCCCCCACATCCTTTCTTATTTATAGCTTGTTTTCAGCGAGGAAAATGCTCTTGGGAACAGCAAGCCCCAACCATGCTGTCGGTTGACAAGTCTACAGTGGATAAAGATTTTAGCATGATCTTTAGGCAACCCAGGGTCCTCCAGCCCCTGCACGCTTGTGTTCTTTTCAACTAGGGGGAGAAAAGGGGTGTTAAAAATGCAGACCAGCTATTCCTTGGAATAAAAGCCATATCTGGAATTTAGGTTTACAGCACTTCAGAGTTAGAAGGATGCCTGGGAGACCATCTAGCTTAGATCCGCCATTCCACAGATTGGGAAACTGAGGTCCAGAGAGGGGAGGTGTCTTTCCCAACGTCATACATAGTTAGAACCCACTTTGGGGCCAGGCATGGTGGTGCACACCTATAGTCCCAGCTGGCAGGGAGGCTGAGGCAGGAGGATCATTTGAGCTCAGGAGGTCAAGGCTGCAGTGAACTATGACTGCACCACTGCACTCCAGCCTGGGTGACAGAGTGAGACCCTGTCTCAAAACCAAAACCAAAACAAAACAAAAAACCAAAAAACCCACTTTTGCTAGAACCCTTGTCCAGTGCTCTTCCTACATGGAGAGCATAACCTTCTTGGGCAACACACGAGAGAGTCCCCAAATCAAAATGCCAGCACTTTTACTAAAGGGAAATTCTATACAAACTCTAAGCTGATGGGGCTGCCAGGGGAAAAAAAGCTGAGAGTGACTTCCCAAGTGTTTTGGATGAGGTAAATCATCAGTCCTGGAACCCTTCGTCTTAGGTGAGAGAGCCAGAGGTTGCCAACTGCTTCCCTGTGTCTGGTCCCAGTTCCTCCACACGCTATCCCCAAGAGGTAGGTGCTATTCCTGCTTGTTAACAGAGGAGGGAACTGGGGCCCAGAAAAGAGATTCGATCAAAGTCAAAAGATACCTTCCGGGCACAGCTGGGACTGAAACCCAGGTCTTCAGACACCCTGAGAAGCAGGGAGTGAGTGTCTCAGCCCAGGGTTCCCAGGGTCCTGGGAGACAGCAAGGGCAGGACCTAGAGTTTGCCTTGTCTTTGGGGGTGGGGTGGGGACACTCAGACTGAGCCTGATGTTCTCTCAAGGTTCCCAGCGTCCCCTCCCTGCCAGCAGGCAGAGACCTTGAAAAAAAGGTTACCGTGGCAACTCACATTCCTCGGAGTGTGAGTCATGGAGAAGAGGCTTCTGGTGGGTGGGACTTGGAGAAAGTTTCAAAAGTTGATTCCTTCTCCAGGCAACCCCCTTCCACCCCTCCTCCCCATCTCTGCACCAGGCTTTGTCGATGTGGCAGCTGATAGCTGCGAGTTAACTCTCTCTCTTCCCAGCCACTCCCATTTCATCAGCGTGCAAACACTCAATTGTTCCTAGTTTCCAGCCCCACTTCATGCCCTCTGCATCCACTTGAGAATGTCTTAAGGCTGAAAGTGTGAACACCCATTCTCTCTCTCTCTCTTTCTCCCCCCTCCCTCTCTTCCCCTCTCTCTCCCTGTCTCTATCTCTCTTATACACACACACACACACACACACACACACACACATACACACACCATACAATTCTAAGGGGCTTTGTAGACATCTTAAGACTCCTTTCAAAGGCCAGTCCATAAATTCCACTTATCTTCCTTTGAAAGTTTCAGAGGATGCCAGGCACCCCAAGACAATCAAGAACCCAAGACTATCCAGTCCAGCCCTCTTTCTTTACAGACGGGGAAGCCAAGTCCAGGAGAAACACTTACCGAAGATCACACGTAAAATGTGTAGTGATCCTGCCACTTCAGCCCTCGTGACACCACTGGCACTGGGCTCCCCATAGAATTTTAACCCCAGAGAATTACTGGTAAAGACATTTTCTCTAATGCAAAAGTGTGGTCATTTCCTGAAGAAAATGCATGCCTCTCTGTTTCCTTTGGGCAGACTGGGATTCCTGCAAGACTGCTTCGTGCCACTGCCTACCTTTCTCTTGGTGTCCTTTGGGACGTTCAGGAAGTTCACCCAACAACCAGTTAGTGGAGTCAGTGAAAGGCAAGAGGGTGTCTGAGGAAGACCTAACACCCTGACAGGCTGCCCGCTGGTCCTGTGTGGGGTGTGGAAAGGGTCCCTGGAGTCCTCTGTGTACCTTTCCGCATCCCTGTGAATACACACCCCCACACCCCCCCTCTCGCTTGGTTGGATGACACCCGACACCTGGGTTCTTGGGATGGAGATTACCTAGGGCTTCTGCTGGGCGTGCCTGTGTTTACCGTCCCAGGGAACCCAGGAAAGGAACAATGCCTAACCAAGGCAGAGGATGTGATAATGCCATTTCAGGCTGAATGGCGCCGGAGTTTAAGTGTGGGGGTAGGGGGCGTTTAGGAGTGGGGAGAATCAGAGGGAGACAGGGATCTTCCTGGAGGTGCGGGTTAATGGGGAAGTCTCCCCCTTTGCCTTTCAGAGATCGATGTATCATTGGGGCAAAGTCCCTTTTGAAAAATACAGTGCCTGAGCAAGGACCGAGTCTAGGAGTTTCTTCTCCTGAAATGCAGAGCGGGGAGCGGAACGAACGCCGGCTGACAGCCAGGTCCCTGTGGCAGCTGTGATGGGATCAGATTCCTGGGACAGGAGGAGACTGCCACATTTGCAAAGGGAGCAAAAAGGACAGGCAGGCAGCCTCTGAAACCAGAGAGACAGACGCAGAGACACACAGAGAGAAGAAATATTCCCCAAAAGACATGATGAAATTACATTGTGCAAGCCTAAAAGGGAGACCAAGTCATGCGGTATGTCCACCTTCCGAAAAGCAACAGGCAGACGTGCCCGGGCGCCCTTAAGGGGAGCCAGGATGGAGCCACAGGAGATGCGTGTCCCCTCCCCTGCACAACAGAGGAGTGAACCGGGGTGTCGGAGTTGATGCCACTATAGCAGGGAAGGGTCGGGCGGGGGTCGTGCATACCTGGGTGGCAGGCAGGCGGCAGGCAGCGCGCTCCGGGCAGTCTGAAGGTCTGCAGGAATGTGGAGGGGTTTAGAGACAGCAACAGGAAACCACTCCGAGCTCTGGGCTGGGTCTCGCTCCCCTCCACCCCACAGTCCCTCCTCCTCCTCTGTCTCCTCCTTCCCCCAGCCTCCCCCTTCTCCTACAGCCAAAGCCATCTCTGTCTTTCATTTCTTTCCTCCTCCTTTTGCGGTGGGCTGTTCTGACCAGACACCCCAACCCTGCTCGCCTCATCTGTTCTGGGGCTGCTGCCTAAACAGACTCAGAGAGTGCCAGGGCTGGAAGGAAATCACCTAGAACAGCCTCCTTCTTGTTCAGAGGGCAACCGAGGCCTGGAGAGTACAGGGGGTTGCCCAATGGCCCCCAGGGGCAGAGCCAGGCCCAAGCATCCTGACTTTCTGGCCAGTGATCTGGACAAGAGTCCTTCCAATAATAGGCAACTCTGAAAAGGGCACAGCAATTCAAGGGGTTTGTATTTGTGACAAAGGCCAGGACTTGCCTCTGTACAGACAAGACAAGCTGCTACTAGTGGCATCATCCTTGATGATTTTGGGCGTGGTCCAAAAAAACCACTTTAACTCTAGTTGTATGACTGATAGACACGTAGGGATTAAACTTCTAGATGGAGCACCTGTGTCATTCGTAGAGAAAAGAATATGTGGGCCGGGCTCAGTGGCTCAGCCTGTAATCCCAGCACTTTGGGAGGCCGAGGCAAGTGGATTGCCTGAACCCGTGGGTTTGAGACCAACCCAGGAACCTGGTGGGACCTTGTCTCTACAATAAATCAAAAATTAGCCGAGCATGGACACCTGTAGTTCCAGCGACTTGGAAGGCACAGGTGGAAGGATTGCCAGAGCCCAGCAAGTCGACTGGGGTGGCCATGAGCGTGCCACTACGCTCCAGCCTGGGCAACAGAGTGAGACTCCAACTCAAAAAAAAGAAAAAAGAAAAGAATATGTAGCCAGACTGAGTGGCTCATGCCTATAATCTCAGCACTTTGGGAGGCCGAGGCAGGAGATCTCTTGAGCCCAGGAGTTTGAGACCAGACTGGGCAAAATAACAAAACCTTATCTCTGAAAAAAAAAATCAGAATAATATGTTAGGCATGGTAGCATGTGCCTGTAGTCCCAGTTACTTGGGAGGCTGAAGTAGAAGGATCCTTTGAGTCTGGGTGGTCCAGGCTGGGGTGAGCCATGATTGTGCTACTGTACAATCTGTTTTGTTGTTGTTGTTGTAGCAGTATTACTATATTGCCCAGATTGGCGTGCAGTGACATGATCATAGCTCACCGCAACCTTGACCTCCTGGGCCTAGGCAATCCTCCCACCTCAGCCTCTACAAGTAGCTGGGACTACAGGTGCGCCACCACACCCAGCTAATTTTTTTATTTTTGTAGAGATGAGGTCTTTTGTAGAGATGAGGCAACCATGTTGCCTAGGCTGCTTTTGAACTCCTAGGCTCAAACCATCCTTCCACCTTGGCCTCCCAAAGTGCTGGGATTACAGGCATGAGCCACGGCACCTGGCCTGATTGTTGATATTGACAACAATCAGAGGAGTAACAACAGCCAGGTTCTATTGACGACTTAGCAATCTTCACAGCAACTCCTTGCCTTATGTGTCTCTAATATGCCCATTTTAACAATAAGGAAACAGAGGCTCGGAGAGGCTAAGTATCTTGCCTAAGATCACCTGGCAAAAACGTGGTGTAAACAGGTTGATTCTAAATTTTACCTCTTGTATGTGAACGACTCCGTGCAGCAGGTCTTGGTGGAATACTTATTGCATGCCCAGTGCTTTGGGAGGTACAAGAATGAATACCTGGTCCCTGATCTCAAGGCGCTTTGGGTCTCAAGTACCCTGATCTCAAGTACGTGCCTTACGGATATACCCGCTTACATGAGCGTACAGACTCTCAGGCTTATCCTGGAGGATCAGATTGGCAGAGGCTTCCTGGAAGAGGTAAACCTCACAGTGTGGATTGGGTTTGCATACCACGGAAAGCGAGGAGGCAAGGAACACTCTGAAGAGACACTTCCGCCCTCTGTGGTCCCGCCTCTCTTCCCCTGCCGCTGTCTGCCGCTGTCCTCTGTGCCCACATGCTCCGGCCACATCAGCTTCCTTCCAGGCCCTCCGCTACCTCCACTACTCCCAGACCTCTCCCACCTCTGCTGGAGACACGTTTCCTCCTGATATTCCCGTGCCTGTTCAAACATTACCTCCTCAGAGGGGTCCTCCTGGCCATTCAACTTGAGCTATCTCCTGGCCTCTCGCAGACACGGGTCGTCCCCTCACACTGTTTAGTTTCCTCCCCAGCACTTGTCACTCTCAGAAACCATTTGTCTCCCGCACTAGATAGAAGCTCCATGAGAACAGGGACTCCCTGTATCTTGTTCACTGCCATGTTCCACAGTCTGTCTAACCCCATACAAAGTTGGCTGTCTCAAACTCCTGGCCTCAAATGATCCTCCTGCCTTGGCCTCCCAAAGTGCTGGGATTACAGGCATGAACCATTATACCCTCAAGCAATGTTTATGCAACAAATGAATGGACTTCCATTTACTCATCTGAAAAAAAAAGTGGGGGATTGTCGTTTACTAGGGTTCTAGCCGAGAATAGTACCAAACACCAGTCTTCAAGAGACCATCAAACCTACTAAAATTGAATATAAAAGTTTGGGCATCTGTGCATTGTTCTGCAGAGAAGGTCCATGGCTTCTTTCAGGTCCTCAAAAGGACCAGTCAGGAATCCAAGAAGGAGCGTGGCTCCAGATGGCCCCCAAGGGGTGTTTGGTGGCAGTATGCAACTGTAATCCCAGCTACTCAGGAGGTCGAGGCAAGGTGGGAAGATTGCTTGAGTCCAGGAATTTGAAGTCAGCCTGGGCAACATAGCAAGACCCCCATCTCAAAAAAATAAAAATAAAAATAGCTGGGCATGGTGGCACACACCTATAAACCCAGCTACTCAAGAGGTCATGGTAGGAAGATCCCTTGAGGAGGGGAACTTGAAATCAACCTGGGCAACGTAGCAACATCCTATCTCAAAAAACAAATGACCCCACCAAAGCATCTCACTGACCTAAAAGCCAAGGGTTTTTGACCCTCGAATACAGGATGCTGGCAGACTCGCCAGATCTCTGCTTTGCCATCTGGACAGATGTATGTTTTTGTGGCATTGATTGCTGTAGCTCCTGGGCATCCTGGGGACTAAAATTAACTGAAGTTTTGTGTTTTCTTCATAAACTAAGAAGATGATTCTGATGAGGCTGAGGCCGTGGAACTGCTCCCAGCCTTTGGCTAGGGTTCCCCAATGACCTTCACCTTGAGAAGTGGAAAGCTGTTTGGGCTAGGCTGAAGCTCTGGGACAGAGGTACCATCAGAAGGCCCCTTCCGACACCCTGAGCCCAGATTCCTCAGCAAAGGAAAACTCAGTAGGATATCTATCTAGGGACAAGAGTGCCTGGGAAGCACGAACCTCTGGAGCAAGGATGACTCTGACCTAGAAAGGAAGACCACCAGGACTAAGGCCACCACCACCGCGGGCCTCACAGGCACAGAAGGAAGCACAGCACAGCCAGATACACCAGCCTGGGTGCAAGTCCCACGTTGCCACTGAGTCCTGGGGTGACTTGGGCTCATTCCTGTCCTGTCTGAGCTACACCTTTTCATTTGTGAAACAGATTGGACAGCAGAATTGTAGGAATTGGAGTCAGCACTTACTGAACACCTACTATGGGCCAAGTACCCAGCCAAACTCTTTGCATATATTTTCTGATTTAGCCCTTGGAAATCTGGGGCTATTATTATCCTTCCCACCCACCCACCCCCACCCTTTTTTTTT